TGTGCATGCCTAGGAGTTGCAGTGGTGCCGCGCGGCAGTGCACCGGGGACAAAGGCCAAACTGCCAGCCACAGCGGCCAAAGCCGCAACTGCGAGGCCACGCGCCATGGAGACGCTGTTCTTCTTCAGTTGGCCGTCTTGGCTTTTTGGGTGGTAGCTATTTGGGCCAAGCAAGCGTACAAATCCAGTCTGTTGCAATCACGGAAATCGATGATGTAAACGGAACAGTATGTTGAACATAGCAGGCTGACAAACGAAAACTTTAAACTGAGGCTCCTGGCATGAAATCCCTCTTCTCAAAGTTCTACAATCCAATCTGGCCATTGGGAACTCAGGATGCAACTTCAAAGGCGCCCCAAAATACACTACAATGACTGGAGCTTCAAGAAAGTGGAAATGATTACAGTTTGGGGCACAAAGATGTCGAAGTCTACCTATTAATACCGACACAGACACACACACAGGAGGGAACATCAATTTAATTGATTTCAGTTATGCGTAGCGCTTGACTCTAGAGTTAATGCAAGCCGCAGGAGTGTTGGGTCCGGTGACTTGTAGATGTTTGAACAATGTGGTGAGAAGCAACGCTCAGCCGCTTGCACAGAGAGTTCGTAGGGAGGTAGGTTCCATAATGGAGCGAGACAAGTGAAAAACTCTAATTAAGTAGGTACAAAGGAATTAAGTAGCTTCAAAAGGAATTAAAGCCTCCTGCTTTGTTAGCTAGGGTAAACTAAAGCTAAAAGAAGCCTCCTGTTTAGCTGGGGAGCGAGACTGACGAATCGCTCCATTAGGGTAGACAAGGATAGGGAACCGACAGACACGTCTGCCGACGAACCCTGCCTCCTGTTTTCGCACGAGGCATAAGAATCACCCACTAGACTAGAGCAGGTGCATGAGGCTGGCCAAGTCCCATATCCCGCAATATCACCCAGCTTCGTTGGTCAAGGTTCGTGATATCGCTCCTTGACCCCCTGCGAGTAGTGGAAACAGAAACGAAAAAGGAACCCCTCAAGACGGGGCGTGATACACGCACACACACACCGCCGCAGAGCGACGCGCACTTATGCACAAACCTGAATAGCCACCGAACAAGCCTACAGAATTAAGGAGAAAAAGAGAAACAGAGCAAAAAGAAGAGGGCGAGAGAGAAAAAATAGGCGTAGTGGCGTGCACGTCTTTCGAGCAAAAGTGCCAAGTGAACGGCTGCATATTATGTCAGACCTGAATAGCCGGTAGAAACAGAGAGAAAGAAAGAGAGAAAGAGCAAAAAAGAAAAGGGCAAGAGAGAAAATAGGTGTAGTGATTTGCACAGCTGCCGGGCAATCCACACGAACCAATCATGAAAGCTCTGAGGTAGGTGACTCCAGTAGTGAAAAGTCAACGTGAACTCGCCAGTATAATTTCAGAAGATCCGTGAAAATCAGCTGAACAGTCATCGGGTTCGGTGATAAGATGCATTTCAGAAAGTGCTTGCCAGAATGGTCTCAGCGCCCCTTACGGGGACCACACTGCATACCCAAGTGGGAAGATGCAGCAGGTCACACTTTGACTCAAAGTTCCGGTGAGGGAACGTCAATCTTTTGTGTGATTTCACTAATGCACCGCGCTTGACTCTAGAGTGAATGCAAACCGCAAGAGCGCTGGGTCCGGTGACTTGTAGATGTTTGAGCAATGTGGTGAAAAGCAACGCCCAGCCGCTTGCACAAAGAGTTCGCAGGGAGATAGATTCCATAATGGAGCGAGACAAGTGAAAAACTCTAATTAAGTAGGCAAAAAAGGAATTAATGATTATGTAATGCATCCTGTTTTGTTAGCTAGGGTAGACTAGAAGCAAAAAGAAGCCTCCTGTTTAGCTAGGGAGCGAGACTGACGAATCGCTCCATTAGGGTCGACAAGGAAAGGGAACCAACAAACAAGTCTGCCGACGAACCCTGCCTCCTGTTTTCGGGCGAGACATAGGGATCACCCACTAGAGTCACTAGACTAGAGCAGGTACATGGGACTGGCCAAGTCCCATATCCCGCGATATCACCCAGCTTCGCTGGTCAAGGTTGGTGATATCGTCGCGCCTTGACCCCCTGCGAGTAGTGAAAAAGAGAAGGGGAACCCCTCGAGACGGGGTGTGACACACACTCTGACACTGGTTTTCAGTTAACTCAATTACTCCGATGGGAAGGAAGGTGATGGAACTGCAAGGTGAACAGGTCCGGTGACTTGAATTGTTGAACATTGTTTCACTCGCTCTGCTGGCTGCACTGCACAAGCGGCTGAAAGCTGCGGTGGGAAACCTGTTTGTGGGGAAAGTATCGTGTGGAACCACCATGAATCAAACCAAAAGATTGGACAGCGTGTTCAAAAGTTGGAGCAGGTACGCAGGGCTGATCGGGCCCTGCTTCCCACTCTCGCCCACAGCTTCGTTGCGTGTGGTAGGGCGAGAGTGCCACACGCCCCTGCCTGTGAGAAAAATTGTTGGAAAACCCTTTGTCCAGGGGTGGACACACACAAGTCGCCGCGTTCGGCGCTTTTTCAAAAACCGGTGGCAGGCGTGATAGTTGTGTCCTTTTTGGACATAGAGCCTCACGAGTTCAGCCGCAGCAGCGTCAGCGCTGGAAGGTGGAAATGTGTATTTTCGAATGGTGTGAAGTCGTGATTGGAGGCCTGATAGAGCCAAGCGCTGGCTCCCGGCGGTTGTGGAATCCCGGATTTTCCAGGGTTGGGAAGGTTGCATGTAGGTGATGGTGCGTTGTGGGAGGTTGATGTTGAAACCGAGGAGATGAAAATCCTCCACCGGTTCGAGTTCCACTGGGTTGCCAAAGAAATTGTGGTGGATGAGGGTTTGGATGGCCGGGTGTTGAAGGAAATGTTCGTTGTGGACAATGAAGCGGTTGTCGACATATCGATAGTAAGTAAAGTGGAGGTCTGTGTGTTGAAGGAGGTTGTTGTGGATCTGATGCCAGGAATGCTCAATGAGGGTGATGGCAACATTGCATAGGGCTGGAGAGAGCTGGGATCCAATCCCGGCCCCTCGGATTTGTTTGTAAGTATTGTTGCAAGCTCGGAAAATGCATGTGTTGAGGGCAAAAGCCACGATGGTGGTAATGTTGGAAGTCTGGATGGTGCGTTGGGTAGGGTGTTTTCGATGGTGTCTGCCAATGTGTGAGTGGTGGAAAGGATTGCCGGTGGCCTGGACATCCACCGTCAAGGTGTGTGTGGGTTGCTGTTGTTGCCAGTGGTGACGAGGGAGTGAACTGCATCGATGAGTCGGTGCTGTGGGACTGAGTTGAAGAAGCCGACCAGGTCATCGTTGGTGGCGTGTAGTGAGATGTCTGGTGGGGTTTGGGTGAGGTAGCTGTGAAAGTGGTGCCAAAGCTGGGGAATGGACATTTGGCCGGGATGTTGAGGGTAGAGGTGTTGGAGGATGATGTCAAGGGCACGGCTGGTAATGCGAAGCAGGTTGCCACTGAGTGATTGGAAGTATGAGATAATTGTACGGCCTTTTTGCCAGTGCTTCTTCTCCTTGAGGTGGACAACGCCGTAGGGAATGTTGAAGTCTTTTCGGAAGCCCCACTTGTAGCGAGTGCGCAAAATGGGGGGGACAGTGGCGGCCAGGTGATCGTGGATATTGGCGGCAGTGATGTAGGGAAGTGGTTCGAAAAGTTCGGGGGATTGCCATGTATTCAAGGCGCCAGTGAAATATTGGCGAGGGCAAAACAGCCGGAGTTGTTGGAGCTCATGGTCGGCATGGTGAAGTAATGTGTGTTTGCCAAGATGTTCTTGGAGTTGGCGAAGCAGGCGAGCCGTAAAACGGGGTTGCCGCTTGAGGTGTGTGTTGTGGAGGCGCCATTGGTGCTCAAGGAAAGGTTGCAAGTGCTGAACGAGGGATGGCGGAAGCCCTTGTAGTTTGAGCCATTTCGTGTAGGCCGTCTTGAACATGATGAAATAGCGGGCCTTGCTGGGGTAGTAGGTACTGTTCATATTGGCGTTGAGAAAAATGCCGAGATGCGTAGGGAGTTGGAGTTGGTCAAGTGTAAGGATGTAGTGGCCGTTGATGGTGGGGGTATCGGGATCCTGCAAGAGGGTGCGAAGGTGATCGCATGCGCAGGGGAGGTCTGCTGGATCTGGCGGGGAGTGGAGGGTGTCCTCCCATGTGCGGTGGTTGTGCAGGTGGGAACGTAGGGTTTTGTGTGCCGCTTCTCTCAATCTGTGGGAGGGGAGGTGGAGGGGGATGGTGAAGTGCTTGTGTTGCTGAATGGTGGTACGAAGCCACTGCTGGCAGTGCTTGGTGAAATCGTCGTGGGCCAGGAATGGCACTGTCAAAGGAAAATTTGGTTTTGGCGGTGTGAGGTTGCGGTAGATCAGGGCTTTGTTGAGGATGTGGAGAGCTCTGCTGCGGCCGGGTTCTTCAAGGTTCGCGGCCATGCGCCGGATTGCATAGACTTCAAGGTCCGTGTGGCGGCCGCTTCGTAGCTCTTTGGCTGCTTCAAAGGAGGCTGCTGTGTGTTTGGTGAGGTTGCGAAGAAGTTGGAGTGCGTGATGCTTGGTGGAGGTGTAAAGGTGTGGTTCTCTGAGTGTGTATTGGCGTTGTCTGAGGCGTCGGAAGAGTCGTTTGTGGGTGG